AAAGTCAGAATTCTGAGAAAAAAAGTCAGAATTCTAAGAAAAAGGTCAGAATTCTAAGAAAAAAGTCATAATTCTGGGATCAAAGTCAGATTTATCACTTTTTTTCCCATATTAAACTGAAATAAAATTTAAAAATCACTCAACTTTTTTTTATTTTTTCAGTGTCCCTAATCCTCTTCCGTAGGAAACTGTATGCGTGCATCTGTAAAAGGCCTTCTGCCAACACCACAATAAGGAGGGACAGAGGGGCCTTCTGAGGGCTAATCCCCCCCACCACTATAACAGCTAAAGTTAGCAGACTAGCTATGTTCCAGCGAGGACAAAAACACTTATTTAAATCAACTACATGTTAAAACGCATCGGTAAATACTACTTTAACCGTCCACCTATAAGTTTTAACACAATTTTCAACACTGGAAGTGAAAACATTATGGGCCACATTTAAAAACAACGATACAATACAGAGAAAAAATTTAATTTAGGAGTTCGTCTTGGATAATGTAGGAATATGCGACGATGGACATTTAAAACGGTCCACCAGTTTAGACATTTGTAAATATAAATGGAAGCTAGCTAGCTAATGCATAGTGGAACACACTCAAACGGCGTTTTAAAACCATGAGCGAGGCTAACCGACAGCCAGGACTCACCGCTCTCCAGCTCGTTGCCCTTCTTGGCGGTTGCAGCGTTCCCCATGGTTTGGAAGACACGGAGGTCGCTCCGACTGAGAGGAGGAGATGGCGGCGGAAGCTAGCTAGTATTTCAGCTGCTGTGTGTGTGTGTGTTTTTTTTTATTATTTAAAGAACTCTTTAACACGGCTTAAATCAAATCAACGTAAACATTTACTCTAGTCGGATCAAATAATGTCCCGTATCCTTTCTCCTTGCCCGTCCCTTCGCTCTTCTTCCTTCTGCCTCTCCCCCCTCCTCCTTCCCACTGGAAGATTTCCGCTGCTGCTGCTTGTGAGCGGCTGATATGGAGCTAGCGGTCACTGGCCCTCTGCTGAGGCTGAGGCTGCTCAGCCGCATTCTGGCCGCTGTGTTCTGGGCGCCGATTGGCCTGAGATGTCGGTGACAAGATACGAGACCATAGAGGCTTCCGCGTGTTTTTGTTAGACGGCACGATTGTGTCCATAGATAACTACCCAGCATACATACCACTTTGCTGCTTTTGACCAAAAAAAAAAGTACAAAAAATACATAATCAGAAGTAAAAAAGTTATTGTCAGTATTGTAGCTAAAGATGAAAACCTTTCAGGTTAACTGTAAATAATTGTTTTTTATTGTTATCTTTTGTATTCTTAACTGATCCAATTATTAACAACTTATTCTTTTAAAGATTTTTAGTACTTAATCTTTCAAAAAAATAAAGAAAGAAAGTAGAAGAAGTAAAGAAGATTACTTTTAAAGAGCATTTCCACCTCCACCTAGTTAGGTGAACATGAAGGAAAACTGTTCAGGTTTCCACTTTTTGGAACTGGATTATCTACCTCAGGCAACAGGTTTGATGTACTTTATGTTATAAACAACCATAGTAACCTAATAACTGTTTGATCTCGGCCAAGGGCGTAGCCAGAAAATCTTCAAAAGGGTGGCCAGGCAGTAACCAACATACACTGAATGGTGGCCGAAAGTGGATAGGAGCCAGAACCTCAAGGTAACGCTACACTGTTCCAACAGGAAAATTAAGGAGCACAACATCCATATTTTCTAAATAAAGACAAAATGCCCTTTCCTACAGCCTTTGCTAAAAAAATAGAGGCATATATTTCAACATCTTTCTAGATAAAAGGTATAGTGGATACAATTCTTTCCGGTTTGAGTTCTGGGGCGAACATCTTTTCTTTTTGTTATTAGTTACTTTTATCAATAATCATTAATTTTTTTATTAAAATAGTTATCTATGATTTCACTGAATACTCCTATATGACCCCTTTATAACACAAAATCTAGTTCTGAAAAGAGCATGAATTCGCTGCTTATCATCTTTAATGTTAGTATATGGATGTGCATAATTAACCACAATGTTTTTGTTGTCAAGTAAATGTTAATATATGAAAGATTGAAATGTTTTGAATATTCCGCTTGAGAGTATTACTGCTGCCACTGTCTGTATTACAGGGAAAAAATGGTAGGGGTGGCCACAGCCAATGATTGGCTAAGGGTGGCCATGGTCACCCCTGGCCCCCTCTCTAGCTCCGCCCCTGATTTCGGCTTTGGAGAAAGGCACTGGACTGCCAAGTTGTCTAAGGTTATTTTTTCATCCTCTCATCACTGAGTACTGATGCCTGTCTCATTTGTCATCACTCTGTTGTATGAAACCTTCTTTTCAAATGAAAGTAAATGTACCATTATTATTGGAAGTCAATGGCCCAGAGTACAGAGGATGAGAGCAGAGACACATAAATCGAGTTGCTTGAGGTTGAGCATGAAGTTATACAGTCAGTGATGATTTGGGGAGCCATGTCATTAAATGTGTGCATAAGTATGAAACAGAACAAAGAGGCCATCCATGGCTTTTATTTTCGTAATGAAAAATCTAAAAAGGGTTGCTTGTATGTATCCAGCTTGCTATTTTTTTAAGTTCAAGTTAAGTTAGATTGAAGGAGAGCTTCTCTGAATGTCTTCGCATTTCTTGCCACACAAAGTCCTTTGTCTATGCATTTTCTGGCAGGATAACCCTGGATTTTGCTTTATCCATCTTTCCATCAGCTCTTACAAGTTTCTCCATTCCTGTATGCCCACAGCATGATGCTGTTACCAGTAGCTTCTTTTTCCACGTGTTTACTGTGTACTTTGAATTGCTTTTGGCGAACTACAAATGTTGCATTAGATCTGTTTTATGTTATTTGTAACACAGGCTTTCCTCTTACCATTTTACCATATAGGCTAGAGGTTTACAATACAGTACTGATGTTGCTGTTCTCCTAATACATTCTCCAAACCTGATCCATGAATGTCATCAGCACAGCAGGAAATACTGGGCCTTTTAAATACTTCTCTAAGTAGAACTCTCCCAGGTAGTCATGGCTTGGTAAGAAATCCTCTTTAAGGAGAAGCAACAGCTGCAAGTTAGTAACTTTAAAAAATCTGGTGAGTTTCCCTGGCACAAAAAACCCCAAAAACTTTGTACCAATAAAAGGAACTTGACTGCATTGTTTTAAAACTGGTATCAAATTGTACTTTACGCAACTGAATCTGTTTATATGAATAGATTAACTAACTTTTTTGTGCAAGCTCCTTAAGCGATATTTGTTGCTAATGCACTTTATGCAAGAAAGAAACAGAATCCAAAACCTCTTAGGCCTTCACAAAGCAGGTATCTTTATAATGAGATTAAACTAAACTTAAAATTTATATTCTATTTACATTGCTTTTAGATTTATATTTTTTATGGAATGCTGGAAATAAATAAATAAATAAATAAATAAATAAATAAATAAATAAATAAATAAATAAAAACAATAATTCGCATCAACTGACAGTCTGATTCCTACCTTATATCCTTCTGGATTTCAAAGAGGCGAATACCACGTGTTTATATTATTTTCCATTTTAATATGTGGATGCATTAAAAAATCTTTTCTTTTGGTTAAACATGTTTATTTCTGTTTTTTTCCAATTTTGGTCTCTTTTTCTCGATCTGTGTATGAAAACACACATGTCCAGATGCCAGGGTTATCACCTCATCAGCTGTGAGGTATTTGACTAAACAAAACGTATTTCTAAAATAGAGCAAAACATTGTCTTAAATTATGCTGCTGTTATTATGTCATTGTGAAACAGTCAAAAAAATTTATTTTTTGTATTTAGCTTTTTGGGCAAATTATTATTAAATTCATGTATATTTTAACAACTTAACTATGTAAGTTAGTAAGTAAGTAATTCTGTGAAATTTTAGTGCAATTGCATCTTTTGCAGACATAAACATGGCAAAGTGCTTCACAAAGAAAACACTGTTTAAAATAGCAAGGACTTCAAATAAAGGGTTGTCTGAATAAGAATTTCTGTCACATTACATTGAAGAATCTGTAGTCTGTGCAGCATGAGTTTAAGGGGAGCACTCTAAGCCTTGAGCTCCTGCCTGAAACGCTCAGTCTCCAAAGGTTTTTAAAGGGGTTTATGGTACCAGCCAGAGCATTTGACTCGAAGATCTCAGAGTTATAGGTTTGCATAAACTATAGAATGCATTTATTGGCCTGCACATGAAGTACCCTAAAAGTAAAGAACAAAATTGCATATTTAATTCTTAACTGCATGGGAGCCAACACAGGGAGGCCAGAGTTTTGTATGCTCTTCTTTCTGTCTTTGTCAACTGTCTCTCTGTTGCATTTTGCCTAGACTGCAGGTGAGCCAAAATGCTTTGTTTAGATAAGTAAAAAGAAACTGATACAATATATACAATAAAATAAAAAATTGAATAAAACGGCCCAAAACTGAACCTTGAGGCACCCCATAACCCAGCTGTGGTGTGCAATCCAAGTAAATGAAAGCATTAGAACACTTGTCAAATAAATGTTAAAGCAGTATAAAACAATGCCAGAAATCCCTAACAGAGATTCAATTTATGGTGATTTATTTACTTATGCCAAGATCAGGAAGCCTAGTAAACTAACCCCGTCCGCCAGCAGCCAAAATCATTTTTGCCTGCAAGTTTGGTCTAGCCTCCATCAATGCCCGGGGCCCTAGAACTGGCGGGCCAATCACAACGCAGAGATGTGTTTTGAATTTCTGGATGCAAAGTGGGTGGGGTTTTGAGGGCGTGACGACAATGTTGCATGACGCTGGAGAAAGGACAACAAGGAAGATGGCAACATCTATTGAACAGTAACACACACCGCTGGCTCTGATGGCGATTCTTGACTCAGCTTTGGAATCAGTTTTGGAAGGATTAGACTGGGGGTTTTTCATTGAAATGTGAGCAGGAAGAGGCTCTACTCTCATTCATTTTTAAGAAGGACATATTCCCCGTTTTACCGACAGGCTGTTTGTTTACACTCCCCCGCCAGCTTTCTGTCGCGCTTACTACGTCACAGTCAGTTGCGCTTGTTGGTCAGAGCGCTGGCCAATAGGCACAGACATGGTTTGTAAAACAACGGGTTGTTCTCATCAACAATCTTCCGATGTCTCATTCATCAGACCATGTACATATATATAGCTCTGCTATGGACCCCATGCAGTTTGCTTACCGACCTGGCATTGGTGTGGAGGACGCCATCATCTCCATCCTGCATCGCTCTCTGTCCCACCTGGAGAGGCCCGGCAGCGCTGTGAGGATTCTCTTCTTTGACTTCTCCAGTGCCTTCAACACCATCCAGCCGAGACTCCTGAGAGACAAGCCGGAGACTGCAGGAGTGGACTGTGACCTGGCCGACTGGATCCTGGACTATCTCACAAACCGGCCCCAGTTTGTGAGGACGAGAGACTGTGTGTCTGACATCAGGACCTGTAGTGTGGGGGCCCCCCAGGGAACGGTCTTAGCGCCCTTCCTTTTCACCCTCTACACTGCAGACTTCAGACACAACACGGACAGCTGCGTCCTGCAGAAGTACTCCGACGACTCCGCCCTCATTGGCCTCATCACAGATCACGACGCGGAGTACAGAGGACTCATTCAGGACTTTGTGGACTGGTGTCAGCTGAACCACCTCCTCATAAACGCGGGAAAGACCAAGGAGATGGTGGTGGACTTCAGACGCCGTCCCACCGTCCCTCCCCCAGTGAACATCCAGGGAAAGGATATTGAGAGGGTGGACACTTACAAGTACATAGGTGTTCATCTCAACGACAAACTGGACTGGACTCACAACACGAAGGCTCTGTACAGGAAGGGCCAGAGCCGGCTCTACCTCTTGAGGAAGTGAGAGGGCCACTCCTGAAGACCTTCTACGACTCTGTGGTGGCATCAGCCATCCTGTACAGTGTGGCCTGCTGGGGCAACAGCATCACGGAGAGGGACAGAAAAAGACTAGACAAGATCATCAAGAGGTCCAGCTCAGTCCTGGGCTGTCCTC